GCAAAGTCCTTTGTAGCTTGAAAGCGGAATCCAGCTGATCGGTCATTTGGTCAGTTAGAGTAAGGCTTTGCCTATTCAGTTGTTTTGATCACTACATATGGTCTCTTTACCATATGGTTTGAACTTCCTCGTATTTTTAAAAAGTGTTTGAGAATGACAGCTGTCATAAACTAATTAGTTATAAAAATAAACATCATTATTTTTGGTGGGGAAAAATGGCTTAGTATTGAGAGCAGAGAGAAGTATTGGCCTTTGGTGATTTCTTTTTAAAAATTTTCTAAAAAGCATGAATCAATAAATATTTTTAAATATACTATTTGCCCATTCTTTTTCTCTGCAATACATTTCATGAAATGAATCTTTAAACTTGTTTCATTAAGTGATTTAGGTCTCTTATCTGAGCTATTTTTAAAAATAATAAAATATAGGAAAAAAGTTACAAATTTACATTCATTTTTGCACTGAGAGCTTACTGTTAGGTTATTTATATCATCATCACATTTTCTTTTTATCTCTAGTTTTAGTCAAAAAAAAAAAATTGTTTTTAAGCTATAGGGTCTCACTCTGTTGACCAGGCTGGAGTGCAGTGGCCTGATCATGCCTCACTGTAACTTCAAACTCCCAGGTTTAAGTGATCATCTTATCTCAGCCTCCCAAGTAGCGAGGACTACAGGTGCACACCACCAGGCCTAGCTAGTTAAATTTTTTTTTCTTCAGAGTCAGGGTCTTACTTTTTCACCCAGTTTGGAGTGCAGTGATGTAATCATAGTTCACTGCAACTTCGAATGCTTGGGTTCAGGCAGTCCTCCTGCCTCAGCCTTCTGGCACTACAGGGACATACCACCAGGCCTGGCTGGTATTTTAATTTTTTATAGAGACAGGTCTCACTAAGTTGCCCAGGCTGGTGTCCAACTCCTGGCCTCAAGCAATCCTTCTGGTTGAGACAGCAGTTTGCTCTGTTGCCCAGGCTGGTCTTGACTCCTGGCCACAAGTGATCCTCTTACTTTGGACTCCCAAAGTGCTAAGATTATAGGCATGAGCCACCATACCTAGACTGTGCTAGTTTTTTTTTTTTTATCAAACCTGTATATGATTACAGATGGAAATAATCATGACACCTGTGAGTTATCTTAATTAGAGGTAAACATCCTTTTTTTTTGAGACAGAGCTTCAAGCTGTCACCCTGGGTAGAGTGCTGTAGCATCACAGCTCACAGCAACCTTCAACTCTTGGGCTCAAGCAATTCTGCCTCTGCCTCCCAAGTAGCTGGGACTACAGG